TTCAATCAGTCAATACATGTTTATCATGGCTGCTTAATATCTCTTTGTTACATAATTCTGACATTGTTTTTTTTTTTAAGATTTATTTATTTATGCATACAAGAGCTGGGGTACAGGCCAGAGATGCGGGGGGTGGTGGTGAGAGGATTCACCAGAGACAGAGTGGAGAACAGAACAGGCAGTCTGACTGAAATACACTGCTGAGGGGAGCAGCGGGAGAGACAAGAGAGGTCTGCTTTGCCATGCGGGTTTCTCTCTGGCCGGCTGGGGATCGAACTCGTGCTGCAGAAGCTGGGAATTGCTTCATAAAGCGGGGCTTAACTCCTTGTGCCACCAGAGAGGCCCCCATTGTTCTTTCTTAATTTTCATTGACTGATTATCTATTTATAGCTTTAGATAATATCAAGAATATCAGTGTGACGTTATCCTTATACTGACTAGGGAGAAAGATTTTTTATTTTTGAAACCTGAACATTTTGGGATTATGTTGAGACTATGTCTCTTTTAAATCTTTTTCCCCTGAGGTTCTTGTATACCACTTTCACAGGAAAGGCAGGAAAGCATCTGACTAGTGGCAGGAGTAGAAGTCCTATTTGCCATTTAGCCTACACTGACAACTGAAGAAGGGAGTGTTCCTCTTTACTGTTGAATGAGAACAGAAGTTCCAGCATCCCTGTGGTCTCCTTGATCAGGGTAGGATGGTTTAAATTGCATATCTTTGTGTAGAGGAGGGGCAGGGAGATTACAAATACATGTATTATATAAATTACAACAGAATTCCAAAATCTTTCTTTAAGTTCTTGCATGTTGAATGCAAGTCAAGAAGACTCTGAAGATTTATTATAATGTAGCATATTTTTCAGATGGTACAGAATAGGTTTATTTTATGAAATGAACACATTTATGCAGTGACTCACAGGCAACAATTATTTCTTGAAATAGCAAATGATTTAGATATGAGTACTGAAATAAAATATAAAATTTCAATATATAATTTAAAATTAACTATGTATTATAAGGTATGCCTATAATCAGAGAAGGAATTTTAACTATTAATTTCCTTATGCCTCAATTATTTCTACTCTATGAACTTGAAGGTATTATATTGGCATAATTTTTATGACATAAAATAACAAAAACTTCTATATATTTGACAATATGATTACTACGCTGCATTAGTAAGAGTAGTAACACCCCAATAGTATGTGTGCTTATATTTCACTACACTAACTTTCTGATCAGAGAGGGATAGTAAGAATCATACTATCTATGAAGAGATTATACTATCAGTACAAAACAACTAAAATCTACACCTCAGAGTTCTAGTGCCAATGCGAGTCAAGAAGGAGAGACTAAGAAAGCCAGAATGAGAAGGGATGCTATTTAGAGAAAGAAGCCTTGCAAATACTTTCTGGGGATGAGAAGACATGGTCAGATGCGAGAATGGGTTCTGCCCGGGGTGAAGATACAGCACAAGCTTTCACAAATTCTGAGAGAAGCAACCTGACTACAAAGCAATACTTACTGTTGGACAGTAGGTGTTTATATGCCTAAACAGGTAGAGCTCTGGATATTAGGACATCTAGATTTATGTTACAAAAAGTAAAACAAAATCAAAAGTCACATGTTATATGTAAAATAGGGTGTTAAAAAAGCACAAGTCAGCTAATACTAAAGGTAAAATAGAGTGAAGCTTATTCAACAGATAAGTTTGTGTTTGCTAACATGAAGAAAATAATAAATATTTATGGAAGCTGTCTCTTATTTTATAAAATCTCTCCACAGGAGAAGAAAAACATGAATTTAATTATGGAAAACAATCATTGAACATAATATGAGAAAACTGCTGCTTTGTCTGGAGGGCTTGAAAAAAGTTACACAAAACTATTCCTAAGTCAAAGGAAAACAAACATAGAATATTCCTTCATGAAAACTCAAATAACAGGAATAATAGGAATAATAGGAAATTACCAATAGAAAACTTCATTTCTACTTTAGATCCAGGAAAACAAAAAGTTCAGTTGGATACCTCCCACCCGATTACCCTTGAGAGAAAATTAAACAGGAAAACTAAATAAAATAAACATATTATTGTAGAGAACATTAATCAGCTTGCTTAAAGGGGAAATCTTGAAAGTTTATATTACGTTCTCTATGGTATAAGAAACATAGAGTGGAAAAACTTCAACCCCATTATTTTTGCTGAGGAAAAATGAGAAAATATATGTATCTATGTGTGTGTGTGTGTGTGTGTGTGTTTATTTAATAGAGGAGCAGCTTAATTATGGGTAAGTTCTTTTAGTTACAACCTTGAGATTTAAATATTCTAAATTTCAAGCAACTTTTGAACAACAAAATCTCCCTCACAATAATAATTTTGTTACTGAAGTATTTGACCTTTTAAGGAACTCAGGATTAGTAAGGGAGGAATGGATGTGTGTGTGTGTGTGTGTGTGTGTGTGTGTGTATGAGAGAGAGAGAAAGAGAGAGAACATCTTTCTATAAGTTAATATTCAGAAATCTTCCATTTCATGGAATAAAACAAATCCTAGAGGGAAACAATTTTCTATCTAAAGGCATGCCAAGTACACTATCTCTCAAATGTGGGTGACAGTGAATCAGCAAGAACAAAATTGTTCAATATTATACCTGGTGTTCTATATCAGAAATGAAAATAGTTACATGAAGTATCAAACAGTTCTGTTCTAGATTGCCACATCTTGATAATATAGAGTAGTCGACTAAATAATAGCAAAAAGAATGCTTTGCAGGGTAAAAGTCTTCCAGAGGCGGACTTATAAAAAACCGAATATATTATGGAATTCTTGATTGGTTAAGAATAAATATTTAAAAGGAAGTTCACAGATGTTTTTAATGGTCAGTCAGGAGTAGCAGCCATTAAAGTAGATAATGAACTCACTGGGTCAGAACTCCAAATTCCATATGGAAGATGGCACTGGCCCTCATCTTAGTCTTTGGTCATGTCATAGGCGCATGACAGGTGTAGCTTTGACAAAAGCAGAAGCTAGGACACTTGTATAACATAAGAATATTAAACTAAAGTTCAAAAAATCGAAATGTTTATGAAAGAATCATGTTCAGTGAAATATATTTGTTACTAGTCTCAACCCATTCTCAGTGAAAGAAGAAAGCTAAGGGTATAGCAATGTGGTTTTCCTTCTTTATTCCCCCAAGAGACTTTTACTGTTAAAGAGTTAAATAAGGAAGGAGTCCATTAGACCAGGGTGGGTCAAATGTGAACAAATAAGAAACTTGTATGTAGGAAAACAAAACTCAGAAACAACCCATCACAACCAGCCAAACAGGATTTCCAATACAGCAACTGCTTAAGTCATAGCCAGCTAAATACTTTTCTTGCTTTGCTTCTGTATCTGCTCTAAAAGAGTCTTTCCTCTACCTCCTGTTAGGGAGGAGTCTGCAGCATTTTTGGCTTGATGTTGCCTGATTTGAACTGATGTTTGCTTAATAAACTCTAAAACTTTTGTACATTAGTTTATCTTTTAACAACACTGAAGCCTTTATTTTAAATTTGACTGAACTTAAAACTCCAGAGATACTTTACTTTGCAGAGAGAACTATCACTTATTTCAAAATCTTCAGCCCCTTCCACATCTTATGGAGCAACCTCATTTTTCTATAGTAATGTAAAATTATTCCTGCTAATACGCTAACACTGAATACGTGTTAGCAATTTTACTCCAGTATATTAAAATGCATATAAAAATATTCAATGAGACCAAACAGTTGGATTCCACCCATATATGTCCCTAGAAATGGAGAGGAATGTATGGTGAGATGAGAAAAAGCAAATTTGTCTATACTGTTTTTCATTAGCCAACACATGATTAGTGAGACTTCTGATGAGATTGTCAAGAGTGAAAAGTACCCTTCAGGGAGCAGCGAAGAAATATTACAATGTTTTTCTCTCCCATAGATAGAGAGGTTAAATTAATGAAGATATATCCTTATTTATTCTTAAATAAAATTATTTATGCACTTGGTTCCATATCATTCATAATTCTGAATTTCATCTGCCCTCTATTCAAAGAAATTGGAATTTGGAATAAAATAATGTCATTAGCTTTCTGAAGCAGCACAACATTAACCATTCCTAATTTTTTTACCATATTTATTTGGTGTGGAAGGGTTCAGTAAATTAAAATTGAATTGAAACTCATACATTCTGCTGCTATACATCATTTTACTCTAAAATACATATCACAGTTACTGTCACAACTATTTTAATATTTTTTCTTTTTCCAAAGAAAAAGAACTAGTTTTCTAAACTTATGATGATACGATATATACACATATAATTCTAGGTAATTTCTACCTAAAATATATTTTTACTTGTAAAGTATGCTTCCCCTTGATCATTTAATAAAAATTAAATTGACCACAGATGCTAATTTATGAAATATCAGATTGCCATCTATATAATACTTGATTCACTTACATGACATATGTTTCTCAAATCTGTAATAGCCAAATAAAATTAGTGAGACCTTGGTTTAAACTAGTTTTTGCTACCTCCTGACACACTTTAGTCTCTTAAGCAAGTTCCTTAATTTCTATGAAGTTTTTCCAGTATGAAATGTTAATGATGTCAATTTACATCATGAGGTTGCTTTAGAAAAGCAAATAAAATAAGATTTATGAAAAGAGTTCAATCATCACCTGGCCCATAGTGATCAATACATCTTCTTTGGTCTTATATCTCAATAGTGAATGAAGCTACTTCAGGAATAATACTTGATAGTGTGGTTTAACCATAAAAATGTTTTTTTCCATTTCTAGACATTAATTTTACTGAATTGCTTCTTGAATATCAGTTTCTAAAGAAACATAAAGTCAGAGTCTTGATATAACATTATTGTAGCTATACTCTTATCATTTGATACCACCAAAATAGTTTAAATTTTTTCAACTGCCAAAGTCCTAAAACAGCATCAGGGAAGAGAAGATGAAAGATTGCTTACCAGATTGAAGGTAGCACTTGCCAAACAGATTACTGGTGTGGTAGGTGACCATAGATGAATACTGCAGAAGAGAGAAAAAATGGACAATGTAATTACCAGTCTTCAAAAATGGAAAATAAGTAGATTTTGCTTGCAAAAATTGCTGGAAAATACTTCATAAAGAAATACTCCAAAGAAAATAAGAGGTGAAGTCAAAACAGTCTAAACAAATATTAACTGTATATTCACTTATAACTCTTTATTTATTTCATATTGACTCTCTCAGGAAAATAATGTGAGAAAAACAAAGAAACATATACCTAAATACTAGTACAACCAATTATGATTCTAACTATTCAAAGAATTATGCCCAGATATTTTATTAAATTTATCTATTCCAGACTGAGAAATATCTAGACCTATACTAAAGGACCTTTGACTTTTTTTTTCCTAATAAATATTTTGACACTCAATTTGAAGGTAGGATAAGAAATATTAATAGCAGTAATAGTGACATTTATTAAATCCCAGTTATGTGAGACATTTTACAAAGTGTCTATTCTACATTATATCCTGTACTCCTGAAAGACACTATATAATAGACTAAAAAAATAATAGTAACAAAAATAAAAAATGGGGATAGTATGGGAAATTTGTGCAGTGATGTTACGGTAATTCTGTGGCTTTGATAGTGGTGATGTTTTCACAGGTAAAATTATGTTCGAGTTATTTGGAAAATAGTTCAAAACTGATCTTGTATCTTTTTTTAAAAATTGAAAGGTTAAACTAAGTTTGGAGGAAATAACTACTTCATTTTTCAAATTTACCATAAAAGGTGAAACTTAAGAGTCTCATGCTCTACCAACTAAGCAAGCCAGGTACTTTATAAATGGTGAAACTCAGATCAGAGTTTTAGTAACTGGCACTGGTTATGCAGCAGCATTACCAGGCTCAAAACATAGGCTTATCTCACTCACAATGCCATTTAAATACTAGACTATAATACCTCTCAGTGTACATGAACCAACAATTACACTTGCAGATGTCAAATCAGGGTAAGAGAATAAAAACTTTGGGCATTAGATTAGTATCATAAAGTATCTTGAAAGACTGGTATGGGAAATTGGAGCTGGATCTCAGCAGGAATCAGTAAGTATTACATCTTATATTTATGCTCCAGACTCCAAGAAATAATTTAGTGGCAAAGTGTCAAAGTGCCTGTGTGTGTATGTGTGTGTGTCTGTCTGTCTGTCTGTCTCTGTGTGTACCTGTGTGTGCATGTGTGTGTGCGTGATATGGAATAGGGGTAAACTATTTTACAGCATTATAAAAAAAAAAAAAACAAAATCATCTGCTTTTGAAGAATATGAGTCACCTGATTCTAAAAGCATTTAAAACTAGGCTAGATGGCATTTAGAAAGGTACTATGACTAGGATTTAAGTACTAGATGGATGCATGGGGTGAATGTTTAAGTACCTTTCCAATCCTGATATTCTCCTATGTTGCTATGCTAAGATATTCAAGTAAAACAGAAACCAATGTAGTTAAGAGGCGATGGGGTGGAGGAAACAGGGTGGGGGAGAGCTATATATTTCTAGTCTCTTAGCTTGTAGTAAATAGAAAATCCATCCAAAGAGCAAAATTATATCTCAACTGACAAGCCTCACCAGCTCACCCTCTAGGCAATATTCTCATGTCACCAAGAAACTGGCCCACCCAGAAGAGAGTCTCACTAATCTTGATGCCTAAAAGCTTGAAGACGCACTGGAGAAGTGAGCAGTCAAACCCAGCTTGTCACTGCTGATTAAGTTGAATATTAAGAAATGCTGCTCTTCATACAAAGAAAAAAAAAAAAAGATGGAAAGAAAGGAGACTATTTCTCTGATGCAATGGAGATAATCCATCAGCTGAACTTCTATAGCTGGAGGCTAAAAGTGGGTAGCCGTCACTGGCCATGGTACTTTCAATAGGGGCTTGAAGTCAGTAGCACCAAAGTGGATACACGTGAGCACAGTTTATTTTTTTTTCCCTGAAGGGACTGCTAGTTAAAGGATTATTGTCAGCTGTCTTCCAGGGTCCCTCCCTTCAACATATGTAGACTCTGATCATAAGCAGTCAACTTGGGCTTCACTCCAGTCAGGGGCATATGGTGAGGTCACAGTGGCTGACGAGCTGAGACAGAAAATTTGATTTCAGAGCCAGTGAGAGTAAGTCCATAAAATGCAGGAGCACAAAAATTAGAAGAGAACAGCTCATGGCATTTTGCTACCATTTTCAATATTTCCCCACTACCTTGCACATGACCTGTTCAGCACAACTAAAATTGGGGGTTTGATAAGTGAGGAGCAACAAAGTAAGACTGGAATATTTTCAAACAGAACCGTGAGTTTTGCAGGATGCAAGAATCAATCACCTCACACAGAAGTGCAGTTTATGATTACTGAAGCACCAAACAATAGCACTGCCAAGAATTTACAGGTTTCTCTGACAGGATCTGTGCTGTGTTCTCCCAGCAGCCTGACGTCACTCTGTCTTGGATAGGGTGGGCACAAGGAGAATTTTCCTGAAGCTGACAGGAAAGAAATAATGCAGGTATGTGAAAGCAGGGGTACATCATTTTCACAGTTCCCCACCCAGTCAGGAATAACAGTTCAGATGAATGTTGCAGCTTTCTTGTGGCACAGAAACGGGATAAAAAATACATTTTATACCAGGAAATAATAAGCCACAACTCTGACCCAATTCACCACCCGCCTAAGTCCATTAGGAAACAAATGAAACTGTCTAAATAAAGGAGTCGACTAATTGAGGTTAGGATTTACAGAACAGACACAGAGAGCTGAGACTCTAATTAAAGGAACCTCCCCCCAAACCTCAAGCATGGAGTAGAGAAGTTGAAAGGAAGAGAACATGAATTCCTTCTGCTCTGCACCACAAAAGCACCATCTGACAAATCAAGCAGCTGGCCAAAGGACCAAACATATGCAGAGCCCAGTTCAAAATGACAAAACATAAACACTTAATTTAAAAGTATTTGAAGTATTATGTGAGCTTAAGGGAGAAGCTGAGAAATCGGATAGAGCAAAACTGGAGTCCTGGTTTTGGGAATAACCTCAAATGCCAAGCAAAAATTTCTTGGGTTTTTTTTGCATTCCTGTTAAATAAAAAATAAGTATTAATTTTAGAAAACCTACAAACATGAAAGGGCTCCTCCAAACACTTATCAGGAGACTTGGCCTCAATATTTTGGCTCCCCATGATCTAGTATTCAAAAAAGCAGTATAGATTTTTTTACTTATTTACTGTGCAACCCAATCTATTCTTTCAATCCCTTAGTAAAATCTATCTTTTGTTTCCAAGTCTAAACAACCATGATGAGTAATTGTTCTCACTACTAAATTAAAAATTAGAGTAAGAAAGAAAAGCCAAAATAAGATAGTTAATGGAAACCCACCAGTGTTTTAAGTCATTAGATGTGACAGAAGAACCTCTGGTTCATTAGGAAATGTCACCTGCCAGAAGCTCACATTTGGACCAAGTCTTGTATCACTGTCCTGGCCAAACTATGACAAAGCGGAGAAATTGCTTAAGCAAAAACAAGGACAATAAAAACAAAGGTTTTCTAAATTACTGTTGCCCGTGTCATTAAATTTCATATTGTGCATGGAATATAAATACATCACTTTGTTCTGCATGACAAGCAGAAGTGAGCATTCATACATTACTCAGCCACTTAATTAAGTGCCTGGGATATTTGCAGTTAGCAGAAACTAATAAGGGAATCACATTTAAATTCAAATCACTCCTCAGGGTAGCTGTCTGCAACATAAGCAAAGCTTACTGGGTAGATGTTCCACTAAATGCTCAGCTAAAAGCTTAGATTCACTGTATTTGTGAATAAAGAATAATTCCACTTGTGATTAAAGGTGAAAGTAAAATAAACAATTCTGTTAGGGATTTTTGAGGGAAGTTTTATTTCCCCTGTTTTAAATACCCATTTTGTCTATTACATTGTCTAATAGAATAAGGGTGTGATTTAGGGTTCTGCCAGTGTAAAGAGGAGGTTCCATAAAAAACAAATGACTATTCTGACCCTCTTCATGGCAGCCTTTCAACAGACCTGACAGTAATGGTCCCTGTACCACAGACAGTAAACAACAAAATTATAAAGTCCCCATTCAGGAAAAAAAAAGCAAGCAGGAGACAAAGTGGTGGAGGGTCACAAGAGGTCAAGAAAGGGGAGGAGAAGGACGGACTGAGGAGAGATTCACATTTTTATAAGTCAAGAACCACGTATTCCAAACTCGGAGGGACTGCTCCTGCCCTAGCCACTGCCCAAAAGTGAGTTTATTTTTAGTCATTCATCTTTATAGATTTTAACATTTCTGGACTAAAACAGTCCCATATGGTTTCAAATCTGCCCTTGATTCCAAGCAGCCTCCACACTGAGCTTCTTCAAAATTTCAAAGCCATCTGGACCTTGGTGGTACAAATGACCTCTCACAATTCCTCTTCACACAAAGTATGTTTTTTTTCACTTTCAGGAAACCAGACTTGCAGGCTCCAAAGCAGTTACTAAGGACACAGGTGAGTGGACACAAAAGACCCCATCACTTGAAGGGAAATTACTCTAAGTTGCATATGGAAAAATGAGAGGACTAGCTTCAATTCAGATCATACACACTTGTTCTTCTTCTCAGAAATTGTATCGGTTCACCAGCAATCATGCATCACTCTGCTACAGAAAACATAAATTCCTAAATTCCAGATTGTATTTCCAAGTAGAAGTAAATCAAAACAAACTTGAATATTTTAACATTGCATTCAGAGTGAACATAGTATTTTTGGTTAGATGGAAATTTGGCATCTTTTGCAAGTCATAAAATCTTTGAAGCATAAATTTTGATCATCACAATAGGTACTGTCACACAGCATCACCTCAGATATTGTCAAGGTACCATCTGGCATTAGTTATATAGCAGTGGATGGAAAAGGCACAGGTCTAGCACCCAATTATTAAAAGCATAGAGATCAGTATTTATACCAGCATCAAGGATCATCACAAGACAGCTCCTATGAAG